ATAAACTTTTGAAAGGACTCATCAACTTTGTTCCAAGAAGGAAAGTCTGTTTCTAGTCTTCAGGAAACTCGTGTTTTCACTTGGGTATGAAAGGAAGATGCTGCTCCATAAGCTTTAAAAGCTTCAGCCCACTTATTACAACTGAAATGAATATTCTCATTACTCTATTCTTACTATCAGACTTTATTATTGCAACTCACTGCATATGAGAAAAACCGGAGACATACTTCCAAAAGGACAGGAGCAGAACAATGGTTTCCATTCCTTTCTTCCTCTTGAGAAATTTTTAGTGATAGATTGTTTGCTCATCTCTGAAAATATATTTGGGGAAATTTTGTTTGCTTTTTTTTTTTTTTTTTTTAATAAGAAACTATACTACTAAAAAAACAATTATCTATTAGGGCATATTTCTACAGTGCCCAAAAGCTCAGTGCTTTTACTAATCCTCCCTTCTGTTGCATACTATAATTATAACAGAGTACAAGGTCATTTCATTTACAAAGACCATAGCAAATGAGTGTAAAACAAAAGACAACTGACAGATAGGGAAAGACAGGAAAGTACAAGGGAATAATGATGTATGCTAGACAAAGTAATAGGCAACAGTCTCAGCACAGAATCATCTTAAACGTGTGAGCCCTTTAATATTTTTTTTTTTCTTTTAGGTAGGTAACACTAAAGTTTGGATTTTTAAAGAAAATAATAGAAAATTATGAGGGAATAAGAAACTACTTTCTGGATATTTTATTAGGCTGACTTCTGAGACTGAGCTGCAATCAGTGTAAAAGAAAGAAGGTGATTGTTTCACAAGAACTATAATTGGACTATAAAAAATGACAACACATGTTGACCAGAAGCTGGAGGCAGTGTCTCAATGCCAAATGAGTAGGAAGATGTTGGAAGCAAATAGGCTTTGAAAGGTCCTGAAAGTAAAGGCAAATTTAAAATGTTTGCTATAGCAGAGGAGAGAAAAACAGAGATTCATATAGATCTCATTTCCATTAAACAGCTTTGTTTTTAAAGGAATTTGCCTACCATCTGTATTTTCAGGTTAGTCTTCTTATACACTAACAGTGTGTGCAGTATATCAGAATCTAAAAATATTTACTTGTTCCAATTAATTTGAGACATGATGCTTAACTCCATGTAACACAGGTTATTAATGTGAATTATGAAAAAGCAGACACCAAAATGCTCCAAAACATTCATTGCATGCTTTATGCTGCTCGTATGTAACTGCTGAGCTCTTTACAAGAAGGTGGCCAACAGCAGACTAGCATAGACATATTCTGCACCCTCACTATGTTGTTGTCAATACAGGGTGTCTTCAGACAAGTTATATAATGACTGTTTGTTTGACATTCACTCTGCATGAAATACTGCCCCACAAGCCAGAGATATTTTGTTGAATAACATGAAAAATGGCAGAACAAGCATCCAAAACAACAACAACAAAAAAAAACCTAGCCTGAAGTATTTGCTATTGCTGAGACTGAACACCTCTCTTCACGTATAAACAGTGATTGAAGAACATTTTCTTGTGATTCCTCAGAAAGGTCTCCTTGACTGTTCAGCTTTTGTTGTTTGAGTAGTCTGTCCTTCACAATGTGCTGCAATGAAATGAATGCTCCTTTTCAAGGTTACTTTCTATGCAGATTATTGCTTAGCATTAAGTACACCCATAACACTCTCCAAGGTCTTTAGGCCTTCTAAACCCCACTCAAGACTTATTTCAGAGCTAAATTGAGCTTTGTTGGACTTTTGTTCCATGTCAAAAATATTATTCTTGCAGCCATGGGAAAATAAGAAGTTTTCTACAGGGAACTGAAAAAGGAGGGTACCCAAGTCACATTTCTTCTCTTCAAATCTTGTATTCCTCTGTTATGGCTTTACAGTCAAAAAACAAAAATGTGAAGAAATATGAAAGTACACTTAAGTCTCTGTGCTTCTATTTGACTTTCCTATTAGAACTTCTCTTTCTCTTTCTATCTCTGCAAATTACATTTTAACAAACTGTTGTCCAATATCATGTAAAGTTGCTGGAATGAAAGAAGTAGTTTTCTGTATTATCTGTCTATTTTTTAAGCAATTATGGCATTTCCCTTTGGATAAAGATGGGTATTTACATCATTAATACTTAAATAATGAATTTAAAATACATAGATTCATATTTTATCCTGGACAGCTAAAAGACTTATGGATTTTTCAGGTCTAAGATAAATTGATTCAAATATACTTTTTTCAGTGTGTTTTTCAAACAGACTAGTGCATCACAAATTCATAAACTAGACTTCTCCTTCATAGGAAATGTTATCCTTCAATGCTAAAGCCTTGAAAAGAATGGCTGATGCCATTGTCATATGGGTAGGTACTTTCAAAATTTTTCTTTTTGCCTCACAGAAGATGGCTATTCTTAACTGAGCATAGAATTATATTTAAAATTTCCTTCATTGTGCCAAAAATCACTGTAAAGCCAGTAATTACTTACAGTTTGCAAAAAGCCTTCATTTTCTGAATGTTTACATAGTGGAAATGAAACTAGCTACAGAAACCTACAGCTTTTAAGATACATTTGCCCTTTGACAGTTTAATTGGAGAAAATAATGTTAGAGGCGGTAAAATCTGTTAAGAAAACTTCTATTCAAAGAATCACAGAATATGTGGAGTTGGAAGGGACCCACAAGAATCACTGAGTCCAACTTTTAGCCCTGCACAGGACCATCTCCAAGAGCAACACCATGTACCTGAGATCATTGTCCAAATGCTTCTTGAACCCTGTCTATGGGCTTGGTGCTCTAAACACTTCCTTGAGGAGCCTGCTGCAGTCTCCAGACATTCTCTGGGTGTAAGGCCTTTTCCTAATATCCAGCCTAAGCCTCCCCTGACACAATTTTGGGCCATTCCCTTGGAAACTGGTCACTACAGAGAAGAGATCAGTGTCTGCCCCTCCTCTTCCCCTCACAAGGAAGTTGTAACTGCAATGAGATCTCCTCTAAGCCTCCTCTTCTCCAGGCTGAACAGACCAAGTGACTTCAGTCTCTCCTCATACAGCTTCTCCTAAAGCCCCTTCACCATCCTCATGGCTCTTTTTCAGATGCTCTCAAATAGCTTAACATCTTCCCTAAATTGTGTCACCCAAAACTGTGCACAATATTCAAGGTGAGGCTGCCCCTTGGGCAGAGCAGAGCAGGACAATCTCCTCCCTTGCCCCCTTGGTGATGCTGTGCCTGATGCTCCCCAGGACAGGCTTGGCCCTCCTGGCTGCCAAGGCACTGCTGACTCATGTTCAACTTGCCATCAACCAGGACCCCTGGGTCTTTTCCTGTGGCACTGCTTTCCAACATCTCATTCCCCAGTCTGTCCATACATCCAGGGTTGCCTTATCCCAGGTGCAGAATCCATCTCTTTCCCTTGTTGAAGCGCATACAACTGGAGATTGTCTAGTCCCCTACTTTTTTGAGTTTTCTCTGCAAGGTCTGCCTGCTTTCAAAGGATCCTCAGTGTTGTATCATTTGCATACTTGTTTAATATTCCTTCCAGTTCTGCATGAAAGTCATAACAATGTTGAAAAATACAGGGCTGAGCATGGAGACCTGTGGAATACCACTACTGACAGGTTCTCAGTTGATGTCACCCCATTCACTGTAACTTTGTGCCCAGCCCGTGAGCAAGTTGCTCAACCAACACCAACCCATGCTGTGTTTATCCAGCTGTGTGCTGAAAACTTTGTCTAGTAGGATCCTGTGCGAGAAAGTATTGAAAGCTTTGCTGAAATCCAGAAAGATTACATCAACAGGATTCCACTGATCAATTAGGTGAGACACCATGTCATAAAAGGATATCAGATTTGATAAGCTGTAGTTTCCTCTCATAAAGCCATGCTGGTTGTGACCCATTACTGTGTTGTCCTCCAGATGTTTTTCAGTACCTCCCAAAATAACGTTCTCTGTAACTTCATGAGGCACTGAAGTGAGAATGACAATCCTGCGGTCTCTGGGGTTCTCATTCATGCTGTTCTTGAAAAATGGGACAACATTCACCAGCTTCCAGTCAGCTGGGATTCTCTGAATTCCCATGACCACTCAAAAACCATTGAGAGATGTTTTGCAATGACATCAGCAGCTCTTTGAGGATTCTCAAATGAATCTCATAAGGTCCTATAGATTTTTAGGGATCCAGCTGGAGCAGCAGTTTCTGCACAATTTCAGAGTTGACTGGGAGTTGATAATTGATGCAGTCATGGTCCTGCAGCTCAGGCCTGTGGGAACCCCTTGGTGCATTATCTGTGCCAGTGACACAGGCAAATTATCCATGAAATACATCTACCTTGTCCATGTTGTTGTTTGGCTGGGAAGGAGAAAGTTATAAATTTTTGCTGCTTCTTCATGGTACCCTATTACCTTTAACATTTTTGCAGCCATTTTGCTGAGCTGGAAATGTGGGTAAGAAGTGGTTAAAAAAATATTTGCACTACTCCATTTCAGCTGTCAGACATCAGGGCTACTCAGGCTAGATATTCACCCTTCAGGCAGTTTTGTGACTGCATCTCAAAATGAGCCCTGTCTAAGCAGAAACATACAATTATTCCAATTAAATTATTCCTAAGCTACACAATACAATTATCCAGCTTAATTTGAAAGATGAATTAATTGAAGGATTGTTTTCCCTTTTTTTTTTTTTTTTCATAAAAAGTCCCTGTGTAGGATATTCATAAAGAAAAGTTAAGCACTTGACTTTCATGTTAGAGGCTCTGAAAGGTCTTTTTAAAATTTCTTATTAAAATTTTAATAAGAATTATTAAAAATAATTCTTATTATTTATAATAAGAATTTTTATAAAAAAACCCTTCATTTCAGCTCTTTACTTTTGAGGAGAGAAGGAGGTTTTTAACACTGCAAATCAGCTCTTACATTAGCACAGAATCAATATGTATAAAAGTAGAAAGACAAAAGCGATGCTTTGTCAAAGATTTCTTTCTTTTTTTTTTTCCTCTTTCGCAGATTAAGACTGATTGAAAGAACGGTTCAGCATGAATTCCTCTGTATTGCTGCATCTCATGGTGATGCTGGTTCAGCTTTGGCCTTGTTCTCCCAGCACGCAGAACTCCAGTGCTGAAAACACAGTCGAGTCTTTCATACCAGCTCGAAGAGTGAAACGTGGCTGGCTGTGGGAACCTCTTTTTGCAACTGAGGAACAGATTTCACCAGAACCTGTGTATATTGGACAGGTATGATAGGCAATGATTCAAGCACAGTACAAGGTTAGATTTAGCATGCTGAGTAGCAGCTTCTACCTAGACTTCGAAGGCCAAATATCTCCAGTGATGCAGAAATAACAAGAAAAGTAGACAGAGCAGATCAGGAAGATGTAATAAGGCAGTACTACATGTCTCCTTTCCTATGACCTCTCTCAAGGTCAGAGAAGTCTGAGAGCTGTAGGCCACAGCAGTACCAAGCACCTTCCTTCACTGAGGGCTGCTGTCAAGGCAACTTCACATGCATTGCTGTTACTAGCTCCATGCACAGCAGATGAAGGTATAAAGCTGAAAAGTTCCTTTCTTCCTTCTGAGTGGAAGTTAAGACTCATTTATCAACATCTGGCAATTTGCTTGTGCTATTTTTGGCACTGCATCAAAGCAGCCATACTGAGTGTGGTGTAGTTTACAAACAGTGTTTAGCTTGATTTTCTATTACACTAAGTAGCAGCTGATTTACCCCTCATTAATTTTTAATGAAGCTGATTAATACTAAATCCTTTTACCACTGAGAAACTATGGGAATCTGCATGGTTCATTAGATTAACGTAGGTTTAGCACAAGGAGCAATTATTTTTTACCCTCCTTTAAAAATGTGCTTTAAGATAATTGTCTTAATGAGGGTTTGTCTGCTCTTCTCTCTCTGCTTACCATTATTATTATTATATTTATTATAATTATTTATTTTTGTATGCTAGAAGTAATTTTAATCTTGAGATCTTATTTTCTTTTCTTTAAGGCCCTTTTTAGATGAATGAACCAAAATAAGTTTAACTGCTAATTAACTAGCACTAAAATTTAATTGGGCCCAAAGGGTGAAGTGCTCAAAATTCATTAATTACTTTTTCACAGCCCTTTCAAAGTAGTTACTATGGAAGTGTGATGTCTCACTTCTGAAAGAACAAGTGAAGACATACTGTCTATTTTTTAAACAATTATTATTACTTTTCCAATACTTTGGAAAAGTATTTCCTGCACAGAGTCTTCATAAATGTAATGTATTTTCATGATCTCACCTTTTTATTTCTCACAGGTTAACTGGGGATTTAATTGAAGATTATTTTTAATATATTGCAGTGAAACCATTGTCTAATAAGACATATTTACTTGTGTCTTTTTATTGAGTAGAATATGCGCTGCTTTCAGCAAAGGAAGTGGTAGTCTATGATCAACACATGAATTTTTAGTAATTAAGGCCCAGAAGAAAACTGCATCAACGAAAATACAAAGGTAGACAGTCTCTGTTTTTAAATCACTATTACATATCAAAATCTTTTTTCAGTGAGAAATAAATTTCAAATTTCATTTAACATAGACTCATGACTCCTTTTCCATTATCAAGATTAAGAAAAAATAAATGTGTCCATCAGCACTGCAATGGCAGATACATAAGGATGAGTACAAAAATACTTGTTCTAAGTTCTCATTTACAATGGTAAGACCATTTATTTTGTTCCCAGCCCAAAAAAAACCCAAGTAACCTTAGAACCTTTGCTGTTCTTTCTCACCAAATGTCATCTGTATGGGGCCTCTAATTTAACATGTTCAAGGTCATGAAATCTTTTGTGGATAAATGATTATGAGTGAAATTGCTAAACACAGGCAATGTCTTAGCAGCCAGTCAAAGGCATTGTCCCAGACCCTGAGGGTTTGATACACTCTGTGGTCACATCTGAGCCTCATGTTAGTTTAAAGATCTAGATAGATATCACTTCTCCCATGTCCTGGGTTAAGTGAAAAGGAAAACAAGATTTATGGGTAACAAAGAATCTGTGTTGTCCCTTAGTGAGATGCCAAATTTGGATGGTGTTAAAATGAGTTTGACCATGGTCCATGTTTAGCACACAACTACTTATGTTCAAAATATTTAAGTTGTTCATATTTGAAATTATTCTAAACACCCTAAGACTTGAAAATTCTGTCTTTTGTACTGGCAAGGATAATTAACTCTGAATATTTTAGGCGTTAAATACCTTTACAGAACTCAGAGTAGGAACTCAAAACCATTCCTCATATCTCAGAGCAGTGTCCCAGTCACATTCTGAATAAATTATCCATCTGATGCATGCAGACAATTATGCATTATGAAAATCTTAAAAGGCATAGGCATTATTCCAAAGAAAAGTTAAAACTATTTTTGCAATCTGAGAAGTTATTACAAAATATTTGGGTATATTCGACAAGGAAATGTTACTTTCCTGTTCTATGGCCTCACAAGTAACAGTGACCTTTATGGTCAATAAATATAAGCAAAAAGTGAGAAAATTAAATTCAAAAGTTAGGCAAAATATTTGCATTTTAAACATGTTACTTCATAAGAGAAGCAAGTTGAATAATATTTTTTTTTAAACTTTGGATTTTTCAATTAGTATCCAGGCTCTTAGACAGTTGGATATTTTTTGTTCTAAAACCAAAATAAGTGGAGAAAAAATAGAGAATTAATGATATAATGGAAATTTTTGTTCCCATAAAATTCAACTGTGGGTGCCTGCTATTTTAGGAAATTAGGTTGTTGCTCTTAAATATTGCTCTTAAAATTGCTCTTAAAATAAAGCCATTATATATCACTAACATTAACAGAACTATTTGGTTGTCATGAACAAATGCAGATGGACCAAAATTGTCTCCAAGACTCTGCTTAGTCAAAGGAATCATCACCATAAATTTCATTTTAGCAATACAACAGAGGATGTAGACCATCCTGGAAGGAAATGGAAAATGTCTATCAATTTATTTTGGAATAAACAATACAGATTTTCACCACAGAATGTCTTTTCCCCTCTAATATTTCAATAGAAACAGAACATCACTGTTGCACACATTTACACTTTGCATTGTTGAGTAAAAAATATGAACAACTTAAAAAGTACATGTGTCATCTGCAATAATAAAAAATTAGACAACGTTTAATGACCTTTGCATTGTTTTCAGCAGAATTGTAGGGAAGCTGAAAAAACAGTTAACTAAATAGGTACATAGATGCATTCCCTTCACTTCAAAGTAGCTGAAGCATCTCTTTTCAGGATAATCATGCATTTATAAGTCTGTTATATCAATACTTTTAAATAAAATAATTTTAAATATTTTAAAATTGAAATGGTTGGCAGAAAAGTTTACAGCACCTCCTTTCAAACAATAGTGTCCAAGAAGGCTCATTAGCAGCAGACTTCACTGTAGAATCAAAACAAAGCAAAAAATGAGCATTTCAAAACTTCATTCTTCCCAAACTGTGACTTATTTTTCTCCCTTTTACTTTCAGCTGAAATCAGATTTAGACAAGGAGAATGGCAGCTTACAATACATTTTGACTGGGGAGGGAGCTGGAAGCTTTTTTTTCATTAATGAATATGATGGCAAAATTTATCTAAGACAAAAGCTGGATCGAGAAAAGAAACCTTTCTACACTCTAAGAGCACAAGCAATTAACAGGAGCACTCATCTTCCTGTTGAACCTGAATCAGAATTTATCATCAAGGTTCGAGATGTCAATGACAATGAACCGCAGTTCTTGGATGGACCTTATGTGGCCACTGTTCCAGAGATGTCGCCTGAAGGTATGATATACTATGAACCAAACCCTTTATTTCCTGATTTTTTCTAGACAGCTATGTTGAAGTAAAATCTTAATAGCATACGTTATAGACTGTATCTCAGTAAAATGGAAGGGAACTCTTTTACAGGTTTGGAAATTTGCAAAGGTATATTCTTAACTTGACGGTTGTAAATACCTCTACTTAACATTCTTGTTTTTAAATATTTAGGTACCTACATCTATCCAAGTCTTTTTATAGATTCTGGATACATACTTGGATTGAGTATAGACATTTGTCTTTCCCATCAGTGATTCAGCCTTGAAATTTGCACTTGTTTAAAAATATAATATTCTCAGTAGAAATAGCTAGAGTACTGCAGCCAGTTGGGAAGAAGTGATGGCCACCTTCTCTGTCTGCATGTTGCTTGCTTATTTACACTGCCAAGCCTCTTTCCCCTCAGTCAGCTTCTCCTTGTTTGGATTAGATAGTGTGCAGTGAATACATTCTGCCTTCTGATTTCTTAATACTTGAATTGTAATTTTCCTGTCAAGAGGAAAAGCATAATCCCTCTACCTCTTCTTTCTCACTTTCACATGATCAGACAGCCCTATACTAGGATCTGTCAGGTATCTGGAAACAATACAACAAATGCAAAGCAAAGACAACATCTGGCAAATATAGGTATATGTGTATATATATATATATATGTTTACATACACAAATGCATTCATAACATACACAAATGCATTCATAATATGTGCACATGTAAGCCTTCAAAAACCCCAAAGTAACAGTACAGCTGATGTAAACAGGCATATTATAGATAATATCTCCAAATAGCTATCTTCAAAATCAAAAGGAAACAAGATTCTTCAGATCTTACATAAAAGATCCCAGTAATCTTTCACATTTATACATCTACTCCTTTTGTTTATTTTTATTGCAACTGATATTGAAAAGAAATTCCAATATTGTGGTGCTTTAAATGGTATGAATCAATGAGGTCATTAATGTAATAGCATCAGTGATGCTGTAAAGCATTATCTGCTCAACTTTTAGAGCAGAATCAGTGAATATTTGACAAAAAGACATAAGCTTTATCTTCTACCAGCCACAATGGTAGGTTAAAGAAAATTATAATCATGCCTGTTATTTAATTGGAAGTGAGGTTAGTATCCTAATTTCTGCCAGGATGCAGGAGCTCATCATCACTAGCAGCAGTAGCTGCAAAAGACATGCATTTGTCAATTTATTTGCTAGTGATACTTGCTACCTGCTTATACCACTTTCCACCAGAGAAATCACTTTTATTGTTTCTTCACTGCCATTTTCTTCTGTGCAGACAGACTTAATTCCGCACCTGACCTCTTGCTCAAATAACTTTTTCTAACAGAATCAGTCGCTAGTTCAGAGTACTCTTCCAGCTTTTGCATCTTGTTCATTTGCTCAGGTTTGGAGACAAGTGACTTGTCAAAGACCTTTGCATTTTTATTTTTTATGTGCTTATAGTAAAAATGAGTACAGTTCATTGTCTAGAATCATCTGAAAAATTCAAAAATTTAGGACTTTTATAATTCCTTTCTTTTTCTTTTTTTTCCCCCTCTGGTAAAACACTGTGTATAGTCTCCTTAGTCTCTTATAAAAATGTTTTTTAAATGGCTGATTATTTATTATGTATTCATTTATACTTGCAGAGACTTGTAACCATTCATATAAATGTATGAACAACTGAATTCCTTCAATTTTATCTTTCTGTCTTTATGATGGCTATGTGGGAAAAAAAGAAAAAAACTAAATAGTCAAGGAGGGTGGTACTTAAGACCAAAAACAATGGTAGTAATCTTCTCCCATATACTGTTTCTTACCAGAAACCATCAACAAGAAGTTGACCATTGAGAACTTTCACTGTATACTGCCTTAAGTTTGCTATAAAGAGATACACTATAAATAGAAGGCTCAGCTGTCTTTGTCCACTGTCCTGTGACATCTATTATATATTTAGATTTCTAAAACATGGTATCACCTCAGCATAAGATTAATTAAACTGCAGAAAATGTAATTTACTTTGTGATATTCCTGTAATATTATAAATAAAAAATATTCCAGTAAAATATAGAAACAAATGAAATGAAAAAAATAATTAAAAATCAGAAGCCAGGTCGCATTTGTCAGAATGGGTAAAAAATGAAGTAAAATCCCTATTTGCCTTCTCCCTCAGACATGGACTTCTTGAAATAGTAAACTCACAGATTTATGGTCATCCAGTGTATGATAGATGAATCCAGGTCATCCAGGATCTTGAAATATTTTCTGCATTACTGCTTCTACACTTGACCTCTCTAGCACTAATACCATAGCCATTCCAGACATCATTCTTTCATCTACTTCTTTCATGGAGACACTACTGGAATACTAATGCATATGTCTGGAATATAAAATGCAAGTAGAGTGTGTACCTTGATAGTGGTCAGCTTCAAAACATGAAACAACAGAGCCACACACCATGAGTACTTCTGGGGCCTCACTTACCCTGCTTCTCAAAAGGTAGGGACTGCACTACTGAGGTGGAACCTGTTTCAGTGTGCATTCTAAACCAATCTTACAAGGAAATTTATAAACTCCTAGCAGAGGGGAAGAGCATCCCACTGAAGTTTACAGTATCGATAGCATAGCGGTTGATTATATTAGTGCTTTTCTCCCAGTGAACCAAAACATACTCTTGCATAATAAGGGGTGAAGAACAGATGTAATTTAAATGATGCAGTTCAATAGAGAGGCTTGCTCTTTGCCCTGTTTCAGTGCTCTCTAGCTTTGGTTCAGCTCACTGATGCTCGGTCTCCTGATAATTTCCTCAAAGAAAACATTCTTAGGAAGCATGGTCAAGACTTGGGAAAGGAGGTCACATTTTCTCTGGAACTAAAAAAGCAGGTAGAGAATAATTCAGAGCCTCAGACAACCACAGCAAAACCAGAAAATAGACTCAAATATCTGTGCCTGAAGTTAGTTACAAGTACCAATGTATACACAAATGTGCCAACAAATTAGAATACATTTTAATTCTTTATTAGCTCTCTTTTATATTCAGTACTAAATTTTATTAGGGTTTTATATGCAAGTGTCACAGTAAATGAAAAGCGTGTCAGCAAATGGACTCTCTTCTGAGAACACAGGACTCTTTACCCTCAGGCATTTGGTACAATTTTACACTGTCTTCCTTATAACTGTTAAACTTGTACAAATGCAGTATATCTGATGGAGTGGTTAAGAGTCAGATGCAATAATCAATCAGTACTTAATGTCTTTATAGATCTCAAGCTCTAGTTAGAAAAATGAACAGCTATTTGCCATATGAGGGCCCCACAGTATACCTAATGGGCTGCAGCCTATGAGTGGCACTCTACCGTATTTCACTCAAGAAGGGTAAAACCAAGGCTGCAAAGATAGAAAGTAGCAGTTTGACTTAAATAAAACTAATCAAAAAGTTCAATTGTCAGTTATATCATGTGATATTTGCAATGTCAGGACTAGGGCTTTGAAGTTTCTTAATTTTGGGGGGTAAGTTAATTGATTGTTTTAAAATATATGATTTTTTTATCTGTTCAATAATTCTTCTCACAATCATGTAGTTACAAATAATGGCTCTTGGGAGTTTTTGAATATAGAATATTAACATATCAATTTCTGAATCCAAATACAAATGCTGGGTAAATATAATTTCATTCTGCAAATGATTTGAGTTGGGTTTTGGGGGGTTTTGTGGGTTCTGTTTTTTGGTTTGGTTTTGGTTTGGTTTGTTTGTTTTGTTTGGTTTTTTTGGTCGGGGTTTTGTTTCAGTTTTAGTTTAGCTCATTTTGGTGGATTTTTTTTTTTATTTGTCATGGTTATATAAATGTATAAAGAAATACAAGTTTCATGAAAGTGAAAAACTAAAAACTGAGAAACTACTCTAAAGCCAGGGTAACTTTTTTCTTCTTGCTATATAGTCCATACTTAATGTAGAGGTTCATGTAGTTATCACACAATCTTTGTTCTAAAAAAATTATAGCCTGCTCTTTACATGGTCTCCGGTGACTCAGCTTTAGGAATTAATTGTCTTCCTCCTTGGAGTGCAGGATATCTGTTATTTCTTCCTTCCAAATCAACTCCCTCTTTACTAGATTCCTTTTGACTATTCACATTTCCATTGATCACATCCACCAGCTTCATCTCACTGGTTCCAGCTGAACAAAGTCCTTACTACTGTGTTCTGAAATACTCCAGAAGAATTAACAGACAAGAAGAAAAGTGTGTGGGTCCCAGAGAAGGAGGAAATGCTGGTTTAGATTCAATATTTCTTTATACTGCTTAGAAACTGTGCAGAAAATAGATTTACCTTTAAATGTGAGATGTACAAAAGCCGTGATGATGACTTTGAAGTCCTATATATTTTGTATTTTTTTTCTGATTTACTAAATATATTCCTGATTTACTTTTATTCCTGATTTACTAAATATTCCTGATTTATTAAATATTCTTGATTTACTAATAAATATCCTGATTTACTAATTTTCATAGTTGTGGACACTTGAGTTTTTTAGTAGAAAATGGCATTAATAACATACTAAACCTGTCAGATCATCCATAGTGCCTGATCCTTTCCTAACTAGAATTTTTTTTTTCCAAAGCAACTGTGTTCTAGTAATGCTAAATTTTCTTAGAAGATTAATTTTCTGTGACTGTGAGTGCAATTTTCTTATATCACAGATGATACAAAGTTAACAGTTATTTAGCTAAAGATTCCACTTGCTCTTCCGACTTATTAAAGAATTCTGTGTTTTCTGAGGCATATGTTTGCCCTGATTAAATATGAATCTGTAATTTTATCTTTAAATTTCTCCAAAGCAATAGGATCTGTATATGTATTTATACATGTATACACAGACCTAAATCATCTATATTTATGCATCTAAACCCATGTCAAATATTTGTTATTGTATGTAAGTTATTAAGGACATATACATCCAAAATTTGGTTTGAATTAATAACAACTTAGTTTACTCTCTGCCTGAGAGAAGATAACATGTGTTATGGAATCACTTCAAATGCTGCTCAATAAATTGAGAGAAAATGAAAAAGAAAATTATTTTTTTTAAGAAGCAAATTATATGAGAAAGCTTTTTTCATTTCTATTTCAAAATAAAAATATTTAGCTGCTAGAAAACCCAGCAATTAATATATTTGTTTCATTTGGGACAAATATCACATTTGTTTTTGTCATTTAAAAATGGTGTTTCTGGTCTAACTCCTTACACTCCACCTTTTCTTCATCTTTTCTCCTCCAGCCTAACTATACTGGTGTACTGATAAGCAGGTGCAACCATGTGAGTGTATGCCAGAAATTTTTAGAAAGTAGCTTGATTTCCTGCTGTTCCTCACAAGAACTGATATTTGTTTGCTAATGCAGAATCTAGGTGAGGAAAAAAAAGAAAAAAAAATAATGGTTACCTTAAAAAATTATTTTACTGTGAATATTTTTTTTTAAAGGACAGTCATTAGAGAAGGTGCCATGAGACTACTGTCAATCTTCTATCTAGGATATGAGCAGCTCCCCATCAAAGAAGAAACTAAGCTCTGTATTTTGATTCCACTGTGTTTTTGCATTGGGATTTCTGCTACAAGTTTTGCACAGGGACAAGCTCATTAAAGACTCAAGAATAAAAAAAATTATCTGAGCCTTGTTATATTTCTTGGTTGCTTTGCCTATTAACAATTAATTTTTTTTATCACCAGTGGGCCTACTGATGATAAAGCGACTGTGTTTTCTTATTCCTATGGGAGCATTCTGTAAAATACTTTGAAGGAGGGGAGGAGAAACAATTTGCTTTACTTCACTGACATATTAGAAAATAGGCATGATAGATGTAGCATTTTAAGCAATATAAATGTAGTGCTGAAAAAACATATATGATTTATTTTTATTTTAATTGAAATTTTGAATGCAACAAGAACAGCTGCTGAGGAAATGTTTTCCCTTTTTAATGGTAAATGTAATAGGTGCCATTTGCTCCTGTAAATTTTTAGGACTGTATTAGTATAACTGGTATGTTAAAAGGTTTTTAAAGAACTTATGTTTTGTAATTATGAGACAATTTGTACAAGAAGAAAACAAACATAATCTGTTTTATTTTTCCTTGAGGTACTTCGGTTACGCAGGTAACAGCTACAGATGCTGATGATCCTTCTTATGGGAATAGTGCTCGTCTGATTTACAGTCTTGTTGATGGACAGCCTTATTTCTCTGTGGAGCCAAAGACAGGTACCACAAGTGGATTTGTACATTCATAAACTCATAAAATGGATGCAAGCAAAATGGTCTTTCTTGATTTCAACACAAAGATCAGCTGGCACCACTCTACACTTTTGCATCTCTGTATAGATCCTAGATCTGAAAAAAAACCCCACTTTTCTTTCCCATAGGAAGATGAAATTCTTTCTCTCTAGCAAATCCAAATTTATTAGAAAATTATCCTGTTAAAGAGCTAGACTCTGAATATCACACTTTATAAATTATTCTAGGAATGATTCTTAATCAACATCTCAGTGGCACATCATGCGATATTTCTATCGTATGTTGAGAAACAGCAGATATGTGACATCCCTCCAAAAACCTAATTTCTGAGTAAGAGAGATGGCTCTGTATGGTAGAGGAAATATATGGAGTATTCTGCTCCTCAGAACTCTAAATATATGAATGGGTTTGACATAGAGTGTACTTGCTATTATGAGGACTAATACCCAGTATAAGAACAGTTGTGCTATGTGCAGTTTAGAATGAAAATTTATAGCTAGGTGCAGTGATACATGTTACATGCATATTATACTATATACCCATGTCAGATGTTGAGAAAAAAATGAGACTTATTTGCCATTGTATTATATTTCTTGTTTTTAGGGGTCATTAGAATGGCTTCCCAAATGGATAGAGAAACAAAAGATCAGTATTTGGTCATCATTCAAGCCAAAGATATGGTTGGGCAACCAGGAGCGTTTTCTGCAACAGCCACTGTTACCATCAATCTCTCTGACATCAATGATAATCCACCTGAATTTCAACAGCGTGAGTAGAGGCTAATTACAGTAATGGAATTCTTGAGGAAGTTTAGATCCACTGTAGCTCTGTTAGGTTTGCACATAGGTCTCTTTAGAACAGGGCTGTGCTTTGACTTTAGCATACAGCTGTAAAAAAAAAAAAAAGGTGGAAAAAAGTAGGTCTTTTTAGAACAGGGCTGTGCTTTGACTTCAGCATACAGCTGTAAAAAAAAAAAAATAGTGGAAAAAAAATCACAAAGTCCTCAAAAAGCTCAAAAATCAAGAAAAAAGAAAATCTATAATTTCAAAAATCTCAAGTCTGCTGGTTTTACTTGCTAATAGACTTTGGAGACAAATTGTTAAACTGCTTTCCCTATAATTTGCACTACCTCAGCATAAAATCTGGAAAACAGGATATTTAGCTTCATTTTCACTCACCTTCTTTCTTATTTTCCTCTCTTCATTTTTTTCTGACACATGCTAGAGAGTTTTTGGCAAATGAGGTGAACCTCTCTGTCCAGGTAGCAGATGTGGAAAGGAAAAAACTGCACTGTTGGGAAGTGCTGTCCTTGGCTGTTTTTTCACCACACTCAGTCACAGAACCACAGAATAGTTTGTGTTGGAAAGGTAGCAGATGTGGGAGATGCTTATTGGGCTAGCAGGAAAAAACTGCACTGTTGGGAAGTTCTGTCCTTGGCTGTTTTTTCACCACGCTCAGTCACAGAACCACAGAATAGTTTGTGTTGGAATGGACCTTTCAATGCCATCTAGTGCAACCTTCCTTGGGAAGGGATGCTCAGATCTGCATTCAAACTGATGTAGAATTTTTTCAGGGATGGAGCATTCACCTTGTCTCTAGGCAACCTGTGTCAGTATTTCCTCACCCTCAGAGTAAAAAGCATTTTTCTTATATCTGATCTAATCCTTCCCTCCTTCAGTCTAAAACCATTAGCTGTTGTTTTGTTTGTTGGGTTTTTTCAGTCCTTTGCTCTATACACTGCTGAAGTAGGGCTGAGAGGGAAGGGTTCCCAAGGGAAAAGATTGTCCTGCCCTGCACCCAAGATCTATACAATGCCAGATCACGTTGATTGCTCCAGTAGAATCTGGGGCTTTTCGCAGCTCTCTGAGAACCTCAAGCTGCAGCACTTATTAACCACGGCAGATCACTAAACATTGCCATTATTTCTTTCTTTAGGGCTCTACTACATGAGTGTCTCTGAAGAAGCTCCCGTGGGCACCACCGTAGGCAAAGTCTTCGCAGAAGACAGAGACATTGGAGACAACGCAGCCATGGACTATTTCATTGAAGCAGACAGCTCAGATGTTTTTAACATCATTACTAACAATGAGACTCAAGAAGGAATTATCTTACTAAAAAAGGTGGGATCTCAGAAACTTTAAAAAAAATCTCTAAATATTTGAAAGAAAATCCGCAAGCAAGCTGGATGTGCAAAACAGGTCTACTACTTCGGATTCCCTTACTCATTTTTCTTTAGGCTTTGTGATTTGATTGGAATATTACTGGGGATAAAAAAGAAAAAGCCTTTACTTTCTGTTGACATTTCTGACTCTTTCCTATTACTTCTGAATATAATAGCGACAGAGTATCTTAATGTTATCCCTAACTGTGCCACACAGTACATCCCGTTGTGAGAAAATGTTCTCTCTTCTGTGCATTGCCTGTAAAATATTTATCAATAAATTGCAAGCAATCTCACCTCACTTTCAATACCTCCTGTTAACTGAAACAAGAATTTATTATTATACTAGATAGTAGAGTATTTTTGGGGCATAGCTTTAAAAATATACCAAGTGCAATCAAAAAAGTACAGTTTATGAATATCAAAAATTTATATTCTTTGGAGTATTTTTTGGGGCATAGCTTTAAAAATATACTAAGTGCGATCAAAAAAGTACAGTTTATGAATATCAAAAATTTATATTCTTTGATACTGTGTAATTTATTTTGGAAACACTCGGGAAGATTTCTCAGTCATCTCCAGGATCATCTGAAATGAAGACAGAGTTCAATAGCCTAGTGAAATGTAGGAGCTTGAAAAATTGAATGCTTTAAGTGTGAAAATTTTGGAGTTTTTGTGTTTTGATATTTTTTGTTTGTTTGTTTTGTGGGTTTTGGTTTTGTTTTTTAGCTTGGGAAGTTATTTATTTAGTAGGCCTTTTTGTTTTATTTATTTCTTTAATTCAGAAGAAAATTACTAAAATTGTAAATGAAACTATGTCGTTAGGGGTTACATTCTATGGGAATTCTTTTTTACAATGTTGCTTGACTGCAGCATTAAAGCCAGAGCAAAACATGAAAGCAAACAAGCACTTTTGAATTTGAAAGTGTTTTTAACATAAAAAGAAAACCTTAGAATTAACTTTTAGTAGTAACCATTTTTTTGAACAATCTTAAAAGAAGTATAACACTACTTTGTCTTTAATCTCACATCATTTATTGAACTATATTTAATTTAAATATGGAGAAAGAAATATTCCAAATTTCACTTTATTTCTTTCTTTCTTAACAGAGAGTGGATTATGAGAGCAAAAGGAGATACAGTATTCAAGTAAAAGCTGTAAACAGATACATTGATGAGCGTTTTTTGAAAGAAGGACCATTTGAAGACACAACCATTGTCAAAATCAATGTGGAAGATTCTGATGAACCTCCAGTTTTCACCTTGGACAACTATGTGATGGAGATTGTTGAAGGAGCTATGAGGGGTGCACTGGTGGGGGTCGTAACTGCCAGAGATCCAGATGGTGATGAGAGTCCAGTCAGGTACCTCTCCTAAAATATGAACTGGCCTCAAAAGCAAATACAGTTGGTATTTCCAAAGGGTATTTCTGTTCCTTACCACAGCTCATAATTACAGTTAATTGTCTTAATTGCTTTTACTGTGATAGACAAGGTTATTGCAGATGTCATGGTTTAACCCCCATTGGCAGGTAAGGACCATACAGGCACGTGCCCACAGCCACTGGGATGTAAAAGAGAATTGAAACCATAAAGTTGTGAGAACTCATGGGTTCAAATAAGGACGGTTGTTTATTATGATTTTATATATCAAAATAATAACAATAACAAAAATAATAGTAGTATCAAAGAAAATAAGAGATAGGAAAAACCCAAATCTTCAACAAATCTCCAAGAAAAAAAGTGATGCAAGAAGACCCAAAACAATTGCTTACCGCAAGCCAGTTTACACCTAGCCACTCAACCCAGCAACAACAGATTCTGCTATTTATAATATCGGTGATAAATAATTTTGCTGTCTCTTAAAGGAAAAAACAGGTAATTAATCTTTAACATGGGATTTATAATTAAAATAGCTTCTTGAATTGCCTGACATCACTGTGTACTATGCAATTTAGACAAAGCAGTGACAAATGGTTGAGACACAAAATAATTTATGGTATGTAGATTTCTAATAGGAGAAATACATATATATTATGCTAAAGCTTCAGAGCTGTGGGTGGTGATTTGTTATGATTTTCTATTAATTTACTATTATTTATTAGACTACTAATATGTTAAATTAAATAGGGAAAAAAATGTACATGGATTTTTTTTTTTGTTCCCCCCTCTAAAAGGGCTCATTTGGTAGTTTGACTAGGTGACTTCAACATCTCCTGTGGAACAATTAAACATTAACACATATCTATAACTTTTTAGTCAGAAATGTTTTGGAGGAACTGGCTTCAAACTGAAAATGTCCACATAGTCCCAAAACAGTGACACAGGTATTGCATCAATCAGTTATTTTAGAATAGAGTATATCACTTATAATATAAAGATATGTTTTTTGGGCTAAGCACCATGCAAATGAATTTAATTTTGAAATCATTCCTATAATAAATGACAGCAGTTACTTATAACATAGAAAACAACTTGTGTTGCTTTGTGGACTCCACATTTCAAACAAACAAGTTAAAAAAGATGTGCAACAAAACATCACATTAGTAATAAAAAAATTAAAAAACCCCTAAACCTAATATTGTTTTTCTGAAAAATGTTTATCAAGAATCAGATTGCCAAATTATGCCCAAATAAAATGACTATATTCAGAAAAAAATTATAAATACCTTAAATAGAAGTTTATAAGTATCCAAACTTTGGTTCAGATAATAAGAGCTTTCACTTATGGTATTGTGCTGGTTCTTCGATTTATCTTCTTACTGGGTTTTTTAAAAAAAACCAAAATGTATCTATAGATAACAAATTAGAGAGTCATTTAACTGCTGACACATTGTCTGAGCTGGACCCTAAGTGTCAACAGGAAACAGAAAGGCTTTGTCAAGCAGAATTAAAGGTAAAATAAGAAGAAATAGTTGCATGTGGGTATTCCAGATTGGAATGGAAAGAATCTTCCTATCATTCAAACAGGCTTTATTTCCATGAAATGGACTTTATTAGCAACTGCAATTGTCTTCTATTGTATTTGTATCGGGTGCTCCAATGAAGGAAGGAATGATGAATCTGACTTCATTTTCTCAGAAGGTTAATTTATTCTTTTATGATACTATATAATGTTAAAGAATACAGAGAGGGTACTTACTGAATGCTAAAAAGATAACAATGGAAACTTCTGACTCTTTCCAGAGTCCTGACACAGCTTGGCACTGATTGGCCATTAAAACAACTCACACCAGAATCCAATGAAACAATTATCTGTTGGTAAACAATCTCCAAGCACATTTCACATGTGAGCACAGCACAGAAGAAGCAAATGAGATAAAAATTGTTTTTCTTTTTCTCTGAAGTTTCTCAGCTTCCCAGCTGGGTGAAGAGATTTTTCAAAAAATGTGAATGCTACGGTCCTCTGCTTTGCCGACCATTAAAAACAGCAGTAAATATATTTTACATTTGAATATCTTTGACTAGAGATTTGAATGTCTTTGGTTGCTATTTCAGTTCATCTTTGCCCTGTGACAAGTGGTTAGATTTTAACAGCTTGAGTGTATGTGTATGTGCACATGTACATGTCCTCAGCATCTGGAGCCTTTTCAGCAAAGACTCGGGAGTGCTGAGTCTTTCCTGCAATCATCTCGTGCCGTAGGATTTTGTACTCTGCCTTAGTGTCACCTCATTACAGATAGTTGTCTATCTTTATAATGCCTATTCCCTTGGCATCAGAGCATGTCAGCAATGATAAAATAGATTTGCCATTATACCTCCACTTAGATGTTGCTGTTATTCATTTCACAAGTGGCAATTTTGCTGTTTCTTTTCAATGAAGTCATTCACCTGCTGTGAGACTGACTTAGAAGTAAGAATGAATAATGCATTTTGGATTCAGTTCATATTAATATAGATCTGAGACGTATTTAGTTTTATAAAAGGAAGAGCTTTGATCTTGGCAGCAGTGAATTTTAAATGTTTATACATGTACATTTTTCATGATTTCCGAGTTGTTGCAGCACACATTTATGTGCATATATGCGCAGCTCTGTTTTCTCAGTTGACAATAGCTTTCTATGTCCTTGCCTCTGATGGAACTTTTCAGTACTACAGAATGTCTTTCCTTTTTTTTGGTGCAGGTACTCTATTGTCCACAGCAGTCATTTAAAGAGACTGTTCAGCATCAATGAACGCAATGGAGCAATCATTGCCACTGAACCTCTGGACCGAGAGATAGCTTCTTGGCACAACATAACTGTTACAGCCACAGAAACAAGTGAGTAAGAAATGTAAGGAACGCTGGGGTTTTTACAGTGTGAACTGTAATTATCCTTTGTATGTGCCTTCTTTTAAGTGGAGAATACATTCTTCTTTCTGATTATATTACTGTTGCTTGCTACACTAAGGAGCATTATTAAAATGATTAGTTAAATAGAAGTGGAATATATTTGAGCTCCAAGGTCCTGTGCTTTTGCATAAAAGATGACCTTATGAAAAAAGAAATTGTAATAGGATCGAGAGTGTAAGGCTTTCAAGTTACACTGAAGCATAAGAATTGCTCCTGCAGTGCAAGATCTTATGTTAAATTAGACCCTGGTTAATTTCACACCAGATTTTTGACTAGTGTGAAATTAGCCAGGGTCTAATTTAACACCAGTCAGAAACCTGTGGCTCAAATTAATTGTGAATGTTAAGGCCTAAGCATCTAGACTTCTATTCAGGGACAATTAGAGCCTTGAAGCACCTTTTATATAGATTTCACATGTCAATTTTGTTTGAAAGTCAAATGCAAATTACCCCTGTTTGTGTTTTTGGTGATCTGGTGGCCCTAAATCTGGGACAGAACTAGAAATTTAACAGATCCTCATTTATAAGGCAGTTTAACAAGATTACTGGGATATTATTTAAAAACTAATCCCATTTATCCTCAGGAAGGAGGAAAACCATGTGAAGCTAGAGTAAAATCAGTAAATCAGACAGATTTTCCCAAATACTCTTAGAGTCTGTTCTTTATTCCTGAATCTCAGTTAAATGCCATTTATTGCTATGACCACTTTAAACATATATTGTTAAACTTCACTGTTGCCAAAAGGGAGACTTCCCTGTAGAACATTGCTGCTGGAAGTCTACTATAGGATAGTCAGTATCAATTTTCATTGAAGTCTTTAACTTGTATTTAGGAATTGATGGTACTGTCTTCCTTTTCAGCTTCTGTGAGATTTTAAGCATGAATTTCATTCTCATGTTGTTGGGCAGATGACAGGTGTTAGCAAATTTGGTCTCTGGCATGTCATGAACAGCTCTGTGGAAACACAGCAGGATAACTTTGGCCTAGACTTTTTTGTTTAGTTAAACAATAAAACAGGAGAGAACTAAATGTTACAAATGAATAACCGTCTCCTGCAGCAAAAGAAAGTGAGAATTTCACGGTAATGAAAGCTATTATACAGAAATGGAGACCTCGTTATGTTCAAATTCTTATTCTTTATTTCTTTAAGATTATAAGGTCAATGTCTATAATATGTTCAAAATATCTCAAGTTAGGTCATCTTGGTCTGGGCACACGTGAAAGGATTTGTATCAGGAACTAGCAGCATATTATTCCTTGAAATATAGTCATAATATATGCTGTGTGCATGAGACATTTGGTGGATGACATTGTGGCACCACTGAAGCACAATCAAAATGCCATTAGAGTTCATTCAAATAAGAAGTTCATTGTTGCTTAGTCAAGTATTGAAACGACATTACAACAGCAACCTCCCAAGGAGCCTGTTGAGATGCCCTGACATTCATACACTATACAAGACTTTTGAGTCCCTTGCAATGTTTGCAGGGATCAGAGATTAGTAAGAGAGGCTTAACTCTGTTATTTTGGACCTGTAGTGTGGATCATCCTATCTTCGTGCCATTGAAGGAGCATGTTTTAAAAATATCCAGAGGTAGGCCTAATTTGCTGGAACTTAAATGTGAGCAGGGAGAACTTGCAAATTCTTGACTCTCATTCCACTTTATGCTTAAAGCTCAAGAAAAATCAATTTTATTTTCATCAGTTTTTACTTGGTTGTAAGAAACTTTCACGAAGTACAAGGCTGAAGTACAAACAACGTCATTCTAATCCTGCCTGAGAGCAAGAAATCCTTAAATCATTAATATCCAATTGACAGTCAGTCAGTACTGGTTTTCCCTAAGCTCAGTACCGGGGTCAGTTCTATTCAATATGTTTTATCAATGATCTGGATGATTGGATCATGTACACTCCCAGTCACCTTATCTATAGCAACAAGCTGGGCTGTGGGAGGTTATTCTGTTGAAGGGTATAAAAGCTCTGCAGAGGGATGTGGGCAGGCTGGATTGATGGGCCAAGGCTAATTGTACGAAATCCAACAAGACCAAGTTCCAGGTCCTGCACTTGTGTCACCAACCCTGCGTAGCACTGCAGGCCGGGGGCAGAGTGGCCAGAAGGTGCTGGAGCACATCCAGGGAAGGACAACAGAGAGGGTGAAGGCTTTGGAACACAAGTCCTGTGAGGAGCAGCTCAGGGAGTTGGGGTTGTTTGGACTGGAGAAAAGGAGGCTGGCAGGGAACTTTCTGTACAAGTACCTGAAAGAAAGTTGCAGGGAAGTGGGGGTCAGTCTTATCTGAAGATGAGAGGAAAGGGCCTCAAGCTGCACCAGGGGAAGTTTAATTACATACTAGGGAAATATTTTTTCTGTGAAAAGGTTTCCAACATTGGAAAATAATAAGTTTCCCAGGGAAGTAAATGAGTCACCTTCCCTGGAAGTGTTCAAAATACCCATGGATGTGATTCCTGGGGTCATGGTTTAGTGGTGAATATGGCAGAGTTAGGTTGACATTTTGACTTGATTAACTGAGAAGTCTTTTCTGACCTCAATTATCTATGATTCTGTGATCAGTTTTACTTAATACAGTCAGTCCCAAAAAAAATAACTCACAACAGACAAGAGTCATTTTACCACTGAGTCTTGCAGGTGTCCTTTCATGGGGGTCTCCAGACCTGGATACAGGACTGAAGTTCTGTGATAATTTCAGTATGGATAATATAAATTAAATATTAAATGTCACCCTGCCTTTTGTCACATACATATTTTTGTTGATAAACTCTTAACTTTTTGGAGTAGTCCTTTCTTAAAAACAATTTATGTTCATTTATTTCAGGAAGTAAAGAAATTTGCCTTAGCATAAATGATAGTCATGCTATAGAAATAGAAATTTTTATAAGATATATCTTTTATAAAAAGATAACATTTGTTGTTATTAGTAGTGCTAGCATTATTGTTATAATTTGAAGTTTATGTTTACTGGCTGATGTCAATGTAAGCTTTCTTTAATCCCCTGCAAATACTGAATTCTGTTTTGTGTCTAGAGATGGTCATTGCTTTTCTTTTCAAGTTGTTAATACGTGTGTCTAGCAATTTAAGTGTCATCTTAATTTTCACACTGATCCAGCCTGTTGCACTTGACATCCTCTTCTCTGTGTCCTTGTTTTTCAAGTCCTGATCTCTCTTGTAGAGATTGTGACAAAAAAATTTTCTGCCAACTGGGAGATATTTAGATAATGTAGGATATGGGTACTTTAGCTGACTGCATGTTGCCTACCTGCTCTTCACAATGCAAACAATGCAGTAACTCTACCTCATCAAAACTGTCATTAATATTCCCTAGGCACTGATTTCAAGAGTGGTTTTGTAATATGTTGCTCCCTCCCAAAACAAAACAGCTGTGATTTTGGAAAAATTAAAAATTTTCATATTATTAAAAACTTCCATACATACAGAAATGAGAGAAATGCTGTTCCTTGTCATTTAACCCTATACTAAGGAAAAAAAAAATCCCATCAAGGCAGCTATGACACTACAAGACAAATATACTAAAGAATTAGAAACAAGGCTACTACAAAATTCCCCCTGTTCCCCGCCAAAAAAAAAACCAAACAAAACCCAAAAAAACAAAACAAAACAAAACAAAACAAAAAAAAAAACCCCAACCTTTTATTGAAAGAATACAGGTATGATTCCAACAATGTGCTATCTAAATGTTTTGTGCAAGGAAGCCAATATAGTATCTATGAATCTTACAAACAAGCAAGGTAAGAATAGGCAAGGTCCTAGCTAGGTCCTTCCTGTGCCACTTTTTATACAACTGAAGTCACCAAAGGTATTCCCTGCTTTCCATTAAAGACTACAAAGCTCTCCTTTGAAAGACAATGTAGTCAAATCTCTGCCCTATACATCCAATTCTGACTTCAGTAAAAGAATTAAAGTAACTCCTACAATCTTGATATTATTTCTAAAAGGAAGGTATGCTACTTTTTATGTTAATCTAAAAGAAGCTGAACACTATTTTTTATGTATTATTATGTATTATTATGGATGTTTGATTCAACAAGAGAAATGTCATCCCACAAAGAAGTATTTTTGAAATGAGTCTGACAGATCACAAGGTTTGGTAAATTAGCACAGCTGTAATGACTTCACAGGAGGAATAGAAATGTGAAACTGTTGAGTAGCTATGCATTTATCTCTGTGGTACTTGCTTTTGCTGCTATTTCCTTCAGCAAAAGACTCAAAGCTATCAGCATAGATTCCATAAGATCCAAGAAAACAAATGTTTGCTCCAAGCACCTAGTGTATTATACATTAAAAAAAAAGTAGAGTAAGAACCAACCAAACTGATGTAGTTTGACAAGAGGCAGAAAGGAATACTTTTAGCTTTTTTTCTTAAAGATCCATTTGACTAATTTGAATCAATGCCTTAAGAACTTCTGAACAGATAGATGCAGTGACACTAAGCACTGAACATGAGACATATTTTAACTGTAATTATCAACATACTCCTGGTTTAGATATAGGTGAGTGATATATTGGCAGACATTTTGGTTGACAAATGATAAGTATTCCTGGAATATTTTCAGGTTACTTTAATCTCTGGAAAAACATCTTAATTACTCAACAACACATCCAAGTTAACATGAGCATTACTATTGCAGAGGAACTTTTTCCCTACATGAATAATAAATTACATTGTGGAGAAGCAGATATTTCTTAAAGCTATGCTGTGCATGTCAGGATTCAATGTGCTGATAGGTAAAGTACTTCCAAGAGGTATCAAATATAGAATCAAATCATTAAGGAGTAATTTGGTTTGGAAGGAACCAATAAGGTAATTGAATCCAATAATGAACCTAGCACTGTTAAGTCCACCATTTAACCATGTGCCTGCTGCTTGATCTGTATCTGGCACTAGAGATACCTTCAAGGATGGTGACTCAACCACTTCCCAGGGCATCCTATTCCAATGCTAGACAACCTTTTCCAAGAAGAACGTTTTCCTAATATACAATCTGAACTTCCACTGGTGCATCTTGAGGCCACTTATCACTTCTTACTTGGGAAAATAGATCAACCTCCTTTCAGGCAGTTGCAGAGAGTGATAAGGTCTCCCCTGAGACTCCTCTTCTCCAGACTAAACAAGCCCAGCTCCCTTAGACAATCCTTGTCCACCTGGGCACAAGCTGGCTCATGTTCAGCTGCTGTTGACCAGCAGACCCAGGTCAGGAATGCTGCTGACGTGTTTGCAGGCTCAGCCAGTAGCAGTCAGTAACTCGGATTGACACAGACAAGGCTTTACCTTCAGCAGCACCTACATACAGGACTCCCACTGACTACAAGCACAGGCAGCCCACTCCCTCTTCTTCTGGGAAGGCAGAAGATCACTGATGCAGACATGTTCACAGATGCACAACACTCTCCAGGTTCACAAGCACCACACACACTCATGGATCCCTCTACTATCTACTTCTGTATGCTCAACACCCCTTCCTTTATCCCAAGTCCTCTTATCTAATTCATGGGCCCCCAAATCACCACACAGTGCACACTTGATGCTTGTTTGAAGCTCACACAACTCACATACTAATCCCTCATGCACCCCACATTTGCAAGTCCTCCCTAAGTGTGGATCTCCCAAACACTTCTCCTGGACCCAAGGATCCCTAACCATTGTTGAATCCAATTTAAATTTGTCAGTAAAAACACACACAAACCCCATGCACACCCAGTCTGAGGAGGATAGAGACAATTATCTCCTGTGCTCCTGAGTCAGTAGCTGGCATCAAAGACCCCCATCCCAATCCAGTATCTGGAATCAATTTTCACTTACACAAATGCAGGTCACACCAGTAGCTGCCACTTAGTCCTTGTAGCACACTTGTGAGAAAGAATGAGATTATGCAGAAACATGGCTAAGAAAACATTTATTAAGATGTAAGTTGATAGAACAGACTGGTAATCAGGTGCAAGGCTCAGCCAGACAAATGCACTGGCTGGCCCTGTTTTGCACACAACCAGCCCCTTCTATACCCTTTTCTAGCTGAACTCTCTTTGTTCCTCCCTGCGTGTTTCCCATGGATCCATACATCTCCACTGAGTCCCCATTTCTCCAGATCTGGAGTACCTCTCACTTAAAGTGTTGCCAGTTACAAAGTCCAAATTGATCTAGCTGGAATTGCCCTGTGTTTTCTGGATAACCCATCAATTATCATTAGGTTTGTTCCTTGCCATAGTCTCTGTGTTTGTTTTGTCAGATCTGTCTCTTGGTTTTGTATCTGTTTTTTTCCTTTTTCTCCATTGGTTTATCAATTGTCAAGGCCATTGATCTGATGGAAAAAACATTCTCGCACTTCAGGTGCCTACATCAAATAGTATATCTGACCAGGTTAGGTGCTCATCATCCCCTCTCTTTATCACTTGTCTCTTAGGTTTTTGATCCAGTATGTTCTTGTTTATGGCTTCCTCTTTGTCGCATTAACTCCTGTTTCACTGGAAAAGGTCCTTGACCAGATACCCTTAGAAGAGTCGACACTTTCTTACAACATAACCTTAGATATGGCTAGTACAGTAATTTTTTTTTCATCAGCAAAACATTATTTAATTTTTCCTGATCAGGTTTTATCTTTTACATTTAAATCAGTTCCTGATTGGGAAAAGAAAAGCATGAACAAATCCAAAATTTTACTTGAAATATCTTATCTCAAGACATACTATTATAATGGTACTGTATTATTTATAATAGTATAAAAATATGTCTATAAGGTCTTTGTGATTATTTTCTTCCCTGCAGAATATAGGTAAAATTTTCTAATCTTTACGTTACTTTAAAATATTTAGTAGATAATTTATAACTTTTATTATTTCTGTCTTTTTTCAACCATTAGGAAATCCTGAAAAAATTTCAGAAGCAAATGTTTATGTCCAAGTTCTTGATGTTAATGATAATGCACCAGAATTCCCTAAAAATTATGAAACATTTGTTTGTGAAAATGCAGTTTCTGGACAGGTGAGCATAAAATACTTAGTCATCATTTTTCTCATTACAATGAAGATTTGGTCTGAGATTTTAGCTTTGATTTCAGTTCTGTGAGTACAGAATACATTTTTTCTACTTCCAAAGTTAGTTCTGTTGACATATGCATAATATGAAATTTAAATTTCTGTACAGTGATGTGTATTTTTTCCCCTTTAAAACAAAATCTGTGTGTCTTGTTTGATTTTTTTTTAAAAAGTAATAAAGTACAGGCAGAAACTTCTGAAAAAATACAGGACACAAATTTGTTTCATGTTAAGGTCACAGATGAAAAAGCTGTGGCCAGTAATTTCAGCAACAACATAAGAACTTAGCAACAACATAAGAACAGGATTAGACCCATTTCAAGCCAGATCCATTGTGTCCTTCAGATAGAAATGTTTCACTGTGAACTGAATTCAAATCCTGACTAGTTCAGTGCAAGTCTGAAAATGTTTAAGACACAACTCCACAATAACTTCCTTAGCTGGCAGCTTAATCTATTGTTATATTTAACATCCTTCCCAGGAGGTTATTTTCCATTTCCTACTTGATATCGACATGAATGGCGTATCATCAGTCAGCTGCCCCAATTCCCAGTTATGCTGCTGACTTTCCATTTTCCTCCTGTTAAAAAAACAAAAACAAAAACAAAAACAAACAAACAAACAAAAAACCAACAAAAAAACAAACAAAAAAAACCACAAACAAACAAACAAAAAAAAAACCCAAACCTCTAGGATGTTAAAAAGTTGTGTTTGGGGGTTTTCATTAGGTGGATTTAGTTTCTGGGTTTTTTGGTTGGTTGGATTGGGTCTTTTTTAAAGAAAAAGATACAAAATAAACAACATCATCCAAAATACCCAACCAAACAAAAAAAAAGCTATAAAGAGAAAATTTTATACATTTTTCCATTACTCTAAAACACTAATTGGATATAAAAAAAATATCCTTTGGGATATCTGTGATGGTTCTGTTAAAACATTTTGTTATGTTGATTTCTGAGTCAAAGAGTCTCTCTTTTTGTGCCATTTTGGTTTCTTTTCACCTCTTTTACTCTGTGGTTAAATAAAGCTTTTCCTGTTGTTCAAGTGATCTCTTTATGGCCTTTTTAATCCATTTATATATTTCTCTATCAGCAACTACTTTGTTCTGCATTTGGAAATCTTCCTGTCTGCAAAGGCTACCCCTGTTTAGGAGGTATTTGGAGTGAGCCATTTCTATTGCTCTTTGGCTATCTCATAGACAGGTAAAAGTGCAGGCATTAAATCAACTGCACTTTATGCTCCTTGGCTTCAAGACACCATGAATTCAATATGGATGCTTATAACATGGATATTTGTTATACGTGTTTTATACTTGCCTACAAGTTAAAACCCAGGTGATTTATTTCTCAAGGTTTTTAGTATTTCATAGTTGTCTACTGATAAATAATATCTGTATGCTAACCTATCAATAGCTACTTTTCAATATCAATTACATATATATATATATATATAAGTATTTTGAGAATCACTGGATAAAACTGTTCTGTAAAGAACAGCATTGTTAACAATAATAATAAATTATTTAAGTATAGTACACTGCATAATTCTTTGACATTGCAATATATGAATGAGGGATGAATGTGATTTTTCTCGCCTTACAGAAAAGCGTAATGTTACTTTATTTTTTTTCATTATTTTCATTCTTATAGGTTTTTGAGAATCACAGGCATCTTTAGTTTAGTCTTTTGAGACTGTGACAGTAATGTTAAATAATTTTCTCATTAACAAATTATCTTAAGAAGAACAACAGGAAAATGCTACTGAAGTGCATAATTATCATAGACAGACTTTATGATATTTTATTCAGTGTTTAAGATTAAAACCAAATTGTTAGCTGATGTATCTTCTTTGGTGTTAACTGTTTAATTTTTTTCATTTTTATTCACAGAAAAAATATCTTTTTTTTTTCCTCACCAAGAAACCAAAAGATTCAAATGTGATTTTATAGGTGGCCTGGTTGTCCAATGAAAGAAATTGTTCAATAAGAAAATTTACATTTCAGAAGAATTAGTTTAAGGAATTAAAGGACTTATTCAAGATATTACATACATTTTTATATTAACCATATTTCTGCAATCAATTTTAAGGAGCTATGGAATCTGCTTACATGCTAAGTTGAAGTTAAAGATTGCTTAGCTACACTATCACACCTGTCTATCCTTTTAGCTGGAATCACTGTGCTGAGAGATGTTTTCAGAAATGTTCTGCACTTCTGCAATTCACTTCTTACCCTCATCTGAGCTGAGTTGTGTCTCGTTTCATGGGACATTCCAAAATATATTTGCATGAATTTACAGTGTTTAGGGGAAAAGGAAAGAAAGGCACTACTGAGGGAAAGATACCACTGAAAAATGAATTGTCTTACTCAATCTAGACTTCATCTTGGTCAGCCTAGTTTACTAAAAAAGTAATTTAGAGGGAGATCACAATTAAGTTGTTTTTACATAGCCTAAGAGTATGCTGATTTGTGATATGGAATATAAAACACATCATGAGTAAAACTAATTGTTGTCCTAATTATCCAGACACAGACACAGTTAATAATTATTTCAGTCTAGATGAGAAGGCTTGCTTTCAAGTTTTGGATTTTCTGAAAGACTATGAAAGTTCTTGGTCTGCTTTTATTGACTAAGTGCTGACCTTCAAGCCCCTGTATGGTGTTTTTGTGTGAGTTACAGCTATGTTTAGATTAGCTTCCAAAAGTCATTCAAACAAAAGGATTTTATTTCAGTCTGTAGGACTATAATCCAAATTTGACAATAAAAATGGGTATAAAGAAGATAGATAGGTGTTTTTGGCATCATACTGAATGCATTCATCATGTTTATTGGACATTTTGAATGGAATTTTCACTATCCATTTAATGTTATCATTTAGTACTGTCCTATAATGCAGAAGTCAGCTGTATACCACACCACAACTGAAGTTTTCTTTAAAACATTGAAAAACACTTTCACTGCACTACCACCATTCTATAAATTGTTTTATAAATGAATTGAACATGAAAGTTGCACTGTTAAATAGTCTTCTATCCCACTACATCTATAGTTACCATCAGATAAAATAGAACAACATTAATAAGGCATCCAAACCTATGATTTCCTCTTGATTAGACTTTTTGACTTTATAACTGTGTGTAAACACAGTAAATTATGACCACAATGTTCTCTTAATTTTTTATATTTACCATTTATGGGCATGTACAGTAAATATAAAACTTTGCACTTCAAAGGAAATATTGTTTACAAATAGTCAAAACATCAAGATGACCAAATCCACACCAAAGGAAACACTAGAGACATCTCATCAAGAATGGATCTCAAAAAAGCTTAATTCCCAAGATATTAATAAATTAATTCATCTGGAAAGTGCAGCTTGAAAGTTTGATGTAGACTGTATCAACATCCTTATACCTAAGCAAGCTGATCATCCATAATGTACCTATGCATGGTAATTTTAGCCCTTTTGTGAATATTGATCTTCCTATCAGAGAGGAAGCTGATTTCAGCTGAAGATAAACTATACTGAACTACCTATATTCTGAATTAATCTGTCATCTCTAATGCATATTTATTCTGGTAATTCTGAGTTCCTTTAATTTGGGAATCACATATGAAATGTTTTTGATATTATAGCTTGCTTAATAATTTTTATTAGATTCAAAGAAGTGATTGAGTATGCAGGAACTTAGAGTGAGAGATAAGAAAATACCTAAATTTATTTACTCAGTACTTGGCACATAATAAAATAATAATCAGTTACAGTGTAAGTGAAAAGTACTCATTTGCTATTACTTCTCTAGAAAATGAAATGTTGACAGAAGAAAAGAGAGGAAATCTTTAAACAAACTCTATGAGAATATGATTAATCTTAAAAATGAGTAGTTTGCTAAAACAGATCATTTCTTGCAAATCATGATGCAAAATTATTTTTCCTAGCAGAGAAATGAAAGTGAGAGGTAAGACACTGTTTATTATTTCATATTGCATGTTTTCTTCAACATTTATAAAAAGCATCTGGGCAGTAATGATAAGAAAATTAAAAGTTAAAAACCCCTCAACAATTAATGCATCCTTTAGATGCATGAAGCTGTGAAAGCAATGTATAATATAACAGACTCTATACCTGCAGATGCACTGAGTGTAACATGTGATGTTTTGAAACAGTGGGCACAGTGACCCATGGAAAATTCCTTTTTCTGTTTTATGTGGACAATGATTCCACAACATTATCTCTTAGCAGAATGACACAGGTGGGAGAAGTTTATTAGCATATGTGAGCAAACATAAAAAAGCACCTCAGTGTCATGGCATGAGCTTTGTAATTGTTAATCCTTTGCAGATAGGTACACAATTTTATTTATAGTTGAGCAGAAACATTTACAGTAGACCCAGATAAACCAGTTGAATACTGTGCCAATTTGCTTTTCAAAACAGAAGCAGCCAACAGGAGAACCCAAGCCTTGAGGTAAAAGGTCTACCTGGAACATGCAGTGCTGACTATAGTAATCAACACTTTAATCTTTTACCTGCTCTAAACTCTGATGATCATTAAATATTATGACACTGAGAAAAAAATCTTACTGATTACAAGACTCCTGCCAATTTGAACAAAATCAGTTCTGTACTCCAAAAAAATGGGTGACTAGGTCTCTTACATCCTATGATCCACAGCAGAACTCTTATTGTGGGATGCTTTGTGGAAAACAAAACAAAGAAACTGAAGTGGAAAAAGAGGTGGCAAATGTTTCTACTTCCCTCCATTTCTCTAATGGGATTGGTAAGACTAACACAAGAAGGACTCAAAATTCTACACTCAGAGTTCTCTAGCATTAAAATTAAGAGTACTGTTGTTGTTCACATAGACAATTTATGCCTAAAATTTAACTTGGTTGAAAGCCAATAGAAGCAAAAGGACTGCAACAAAGAAGCTTTGAACTTTCCTTTTGCACCTCTCCATAATCCCAGTTTAGTAAGACCATTTGGAGATGAGGAAATAAATTTCCAATTAAGTTTTATCAAGATTACATGGCAGTCAAGTACTCCCTAATGAACAGTTGTTGATTTTTATTTACAAGATGAATAAATACAATCAATTATGATAATTTATTTACAAGATGCTATTCCAACATCCTGGTCTGGCATGTGTATAAGGAATTTCTTCCTCTTTCAGTTGGCCACAGTAGGAATTTTTGTTCAGATAGATCACTCACAACTGACTTACCATGTCTGGTATTCTCCTGTTGTTGCCATCTACAGTTATAGTTACAAGTCCTCACAGGAATTTTTTGTCCGATGCTCAGATTCCAAACCTTCACCTCCATTTAGGCCTAAAATGAGCATCTTTCTGTTACCCATCTATGCTTGTGGTAGCTTATCTTATGGAAACTTTCTTGTCTGGTAGCACATTGAGATATTTCACTGAATTCTTTAACTCTTCAAAAGCCATCATAAATTTAAATCAGTTTTTTAAAAAAAATGATTTTAAAAAAGTCAATTAATTAATTTATTAATTAATCAAATAATTAATATCTGTTTTAAGGAAATACCCATTTTTAAATGAACTGCTGCATTTTTAAAGCTTCTATATTAATGAGACTTGAAGTAAGAATTTTTAAAGCAATGAAATTTCAGCCACATCAACACAACCACTGACATAACCTTGCAAAAGCAACAAATTATCCACTATATTTTCTTTGTTTATACACTAAAATATAGGAAGTGTGTAAGCCTCAACACACAAGTTTTTGAGATGGTGATACCAGTTCCCCTGGTAAAAGGCTAGAATCTCCAAGATTAGATGTACAAAAACCTAGGAAATCTGAAAAAGAAGAAGGGATTTCCTTCACTCTGGGTGATTTTTCCTTCCAAGTCAGTAAAATCAGAGGTACTTACTGGTTTCTGCATATTTTGTAGACTAATGTGGGCTTTGCTGAATCTTAGTAGAACAAGAAGTAAACAATAAGGATTTGTTCTGTCCTTACCTTCCAATTTTTCCCCTGCTGCTAAGGTGAAACCTTGAAGGCATATTGAAGGCATATATATATATATATATATATACACACACACACACTTATCTGTATATATATATATATCTAGAACAACCATAGGAATCTTAGGTTTGTGCAGAACAACACAGATCAAGCAAGGGAAGCTGGTTTGGATTTTTCTTTTTCTAGGTTTGTGCAGATCAAGCAAGGGAAGCTGGTTTGGATTTTTCTTTTTTTTTCAGTTAGCCACATTCTCCTTAGAATTTTATTGATTGAATCAGATATAGATGAAATGTACAGAGCCAAATACATTCTGTATGTAAAATATGGAAGTTAATAATGAGATAGCAAAACAGTATCTAATTCACAACTGCTTTAATTTTATGATTTTCACACATTATAAACGCCTAAAAATACGTTTGCAAAAGACATTGGTAATACCTGGTTAAATAAAAATCCCTTTTTTTTTTTTTTTTAGTGTACAGGTAGGTAAGTTTTCTCTACCAAGTAACTGAAATAAAAACAAAACAGAACAAAATAAATGTGCCCAAGATGTCTTTGTAGATCATTATATTATTCTGCATATTTAGTATATCTTAATAGACCCTGAATTTTAAGGACAGGCGTACATTCATACCAAGATTTATCCTCATCTGTGACATGTAACCAGCAAATTTCCAAGAGAAACAAGTATGGTCTCTTAGTTCTTTTGAGGTAGATGGTAAAATATTATAAAATGTGTCCTTCTTCACAATTTAGACTGTATATATAACTTCCTATCCTTTTTCTGTTCATATTGACCATATTCTGGGAACTACATGTCCTTATAAAAATGGTGCTGTGGTAGTCAAGGAAATGTTAGCTGTCAGATTATCCTGACTGATTTCTTGACCTGCATTTTTATACCCGTATTTGCATCACTTCAGCTATTTTATTAGTTCTGATGAAAGCAAAAAATATCCCTCAAGAATCTCTCTCCTTTGTACACTATGACATCACTGAAAAGTTATTTCTCTCATTAATGGCAATAAAAAAATCCCACAAACTAAGAAACTCAAGGGTCCTCATATTTCCATAGAGAGAAAATATAGATTTAAAATAAATTTCACATATAAAGAGGGAAGAATATTAAGAATACAAGGTTTTTGGTGTGTAAGCCACATTTTGCATTCTGTTGTGATGACTTCTTCAAACTCTGCTTGTTTGAAGAGAAAAAGAATGTGTGATGAAATTCTAGATCTTTGAAAAAGGATCTAACCAGAAAAGAGTTGTCAAAGGCACAGATGGAAAGCAGCAGTAATCACTTTCACTGACTTAAAGTCCTGCTTGTATCATTCAGGTGGTGTGTGGTTTGAGAAAAGTTAAGGGTTCAAGTTCTTGTGTACAAATATATACAAAGCATGAGATAACTGGTAAAATAGAGCCAAAGTTCAAATTTGACCCTCTCTTTTCTGAAAATCAGTGGATTTCCAGCAGTTTGCTTTCCTCCTGATCAGCAAGGATGTTCACTAATATATGCTGATAATTAAATATTTACTGATAAATATAAGAATTATAGACTTTTTAAGCAGAAATACTGCTAATTATGTTAACTATGTGGTTGCTTATTTACAGAGATGAAAAACATTCTTTTAAATGCTGTTATTTTTTATTTTATCTAGCAATAACTGTCTGGTTTGACATTTTTCTAAAAGAAAGCTATTTTGGTTTCTTGAGAAAAAACAGCCAAAAATTTCCATAATCAATCTGTTATAATATCCAGAATCAACAATTCAGCAAGTGAACTTGTCAAAGTATGTCACTTACTGGAGCTATAATATACCAGCTGAATGATGTCAATGTGTTTGTGGCCTCAAAAGGAAAGGGTTTTGCATAGAAAGATTTCTTGAAATGTAGAATGATGTACTGTTCACCTTGGATTAAAAAATAAAAAAAGAACAAAACATTCTATATATATTTTTTTTTTTTTAATTTATGGACTTCATTTACTCCTGGTCCTTTGATCTGGAAAACATTTTACATTTTCTCAAGGTTTTAGTGTCTGCTTGTCTCAAATGGATGAAAACTTAAAACAGAGTACTTGCAGAATATAAGTCTCAATAAGCCTATTTGGATATTTGGGGAATATTTGCATATTATGCAGTCAATACAGATTCACAGGTCACATCTTCAACATCAATAGTTTATTTTAACATACTTGTTATATCTTTTTTTATTGTTTTAAAGGACAAGGAACTTTTTTTACTCTTAAACAACTCTGTTCTCTTATTTTTCCAGCTAATTCAAAGTGTCAGTGCAGTGGATCAAGATGACTCAGCAGAAGGTCACCATTTTCGTTTCTCATTGGCTCAGGAGGATGGAAATAGCTCACATTTTATTGTCAAAGACAATCAAGGTAGTGTCAGTCATGCAGCTTTTTAAGACCTGCCTGATGGAAGAGGCATGCTTCCAAGAGGTTCTTAATTTCTTAAAATTTTCCATTTAAATAGAAATTTTTGTTATAAAAATTAGACATGTCCTGAGGTCCATTTCAATACAATAATTCAATAATATCAAAAAGTTTATTTTCTTTTCAAGTGAATAATATTAACAGCAAAAAGCAGTTTTATTTCAGGTTAAGAAAAAACAGCTGAGATGAAAAATACACTGATATTTCTTATAATATGGTTGTCAATTCCAACTTTCTTGTTAAAATTATTTACCTGAGAAATAAGATCACTAGAAAGAGAAGATTGGTATAAGTATAGAATTGTTATTTCATTTATTCAGCATGAGCAACATTATAAAAACAGATAACTAACAATGGAATCTTATTTTATAATATACAATATTAAGCTAAACCAGAGTGAGATGAAAATACAGGTGTGATATCTGATGAAATTTCAACGAGGTGACCATTTAGAGTCAGTCTGCTGAGATTACAAAGTAAAACATCAGACTAAGCTGAAATACACATTGTTCTTATTGACCACGCTAATTATTTGAATGTTCTGGCTAAGGGAACAAATCAATGGAAATAAGTTTTGGCAAACTCCAAATACGATATATGGCAAACTACTTCTCAATTATCTTCAAAGTTAGTCAATGTATCATAAAGAATTTCAATTCTTATCTTCATCTCTCACTCCCTTCCAGGAAGAGATAAGTCATTATATTAAGGTCAAATAGTGCACAAGCCATGAGCCTTTCCCACCCTTCTTCTTTCTGCCCAAAGCCTAAGCAGACCCTCACACAAAGCAACCCATTCAGTTCCTTTTGATGGCTACTAATGGGGAAAACAAAACTTTTTGAAATATGATGCAATCAGATTTCAACCTGCCCCTTTCTGCCACATTCAACAGAAATGGCTGGTTGAATTGTAATAGCCCTAAGGAAGAGAAAGAGACTGTAGATCTCTAGCATTTTATCTCAGAGTTACTTTCTGAACTATGATAGAGACCTAGAACAACTTATATGTGAGAGAGTTAACTTCAGTAGACTGATTGTATAGAGTTATTGTGCAAATAATGGTAGAAAATCTTTTTTCCCCTACTTCTACATATACACACGTGCAGTCTTTCACTCTGCCATGTGAAATAATTCTGACATAGAAATATTTCTAGATTATTTTTTCTTCTTTTCATTACACAGGTAAACAGGACTATTTTATTTGCAGCAATCTAAGTTACTTACTCTAATTGATACACAGCAGGACCTGAATTTAAGCTGTTAACTGTATTTCTTACAGAAGAGATTTCTAAACACTAATACTTATATACAAAGCAAAGTGAAAGCATCTAAAACTTTTTTTGCTATTTTAGGTGGTAGAAGTCCAGCTAGCTCCAGTTTTTGTGCTAAGGAAAGCAATAAAAGGCCATTTTAGTGGACTTTTTTCTTGTTTTTTCTTCTTTCCCTTGCCACCTGTTCTCACCATGTGCTGCTAGAAACACTTTTTACCTTTTTGATTGACAAGCTGTCTGTATTTTATCTGTGAACTTCTGGCTTGGTAGCAGCTGGATACATGGAACCATTTTAAGAACCAATTAATTAGTCTAAGCAGGTGCCAGGAACTGAAAATATGTAAATTTATTTAACTCTGTACATTAATACCAGAGATCCTCAAATTTTACTATTGTCCCTGGAGTACATATATCAAAACTTAAATACAATTTATTCACAATTGACAAAATATGCACCAAATAGCAGTGCCTGCTTTTACATTTTTAACTTTTGTTAATGTATAGCTTTGCAGAGTACTATTGCTTTTAAATAGGTCAGATTACACTAAATATTATTGTTGTGGTTACAAGATACATAAATGAATATCATCATAATAATTTATCTTCTAGATAACACAGCTGGAATTTTCACGGGAAAAAGTGGCTTCAGCAGGCAAGAGCAGTTTTTTTTCTATTTGCCAATTTTAATTCAGGATAATGGAACCCCACCGCTGACGAGCACAAATACTCTCACTGTCACTGTCTGCGACTGTGACACTGAAGTTAACACCCTCTACTGCCGATACGGAGCTTTCATGTATTCCTTGGGTCTCAGCACAGAGGCTTTAGTTGCTGTTTTGGCTTGCATATTAATATTCCTAGGTAAGTACAAGTAAGAAAAATTACTTTGCTTCCTTTTACAGAGGGGTTGTTTAAGTAACAAAGATGGACCCTTGACTTGAAGACTGGAAGTACTGGGCCATTGGGAAAAATTGAAATAAGGCAAATGTTTCATTTCTTTCCTGTTTTCTTAACTATAATTTCTCCCTTCCTTTCCCCAGCTTTCAGTAAAATTTGAATTCTAACACAATTTCCTAAAAGTTGGATGTAGTTGAGTCATTGTCCTCTTTACTTTCCTGGCATTGCAATAACAAAGATTTCACAGCCCAAAGTCTGTATTGATCCCAGGTAAAGCTGAAGACAGCATTACACAAGAAAATTTGCTAATGTAGGAATATATTAAAAGAAGTAGCACCTTACTCGTTCTGCCTAAGGAATGGCAAATGTAGAATTGAGATCAGTTATAAATAATAAAAGAAAAAGTCAAAGTTCCAGACAAAGGGAGTTTCTTCGCTAGTTAAGGTTACATCTCTAGACAGCATTTTCTCCAAATGTTGGACATCTCCTTTTTCCTCTCAGGAGACACTAGCTTAACCTCCAATACATTTGGGAATGTGTGGATGTGAAAACTGAGATTAAGAGTGGTCCAAATGCACAAGAGTTTTTCTAATACCCCTGTAAAGGGTCGTGCACAGCTGGCAAACAGCATTCAAAACCAAACCAACAACTCAAGTCCGTTCTCGACACCAGCCATTTCTTGACTCCGTAGAAAAGCCCAGGGATGCACTACTTTTCCTACATCCATGCCCTGGCTTCCAATCAAGGACATGGGAACATAAAATGAATTTGTTTTTTCTAGGCTTGCCTGCACTTCCAGAGTTTTCTTATTTAAATCTGAGCTTACATATCTGCTTCATGTCTTTTAGTCATTTTAAGCTTACAAACCAGTATGCATTTCAAGTTTTGATTGCTAATTGCAGGGTATCTGAATAGGTTCACTTTGTGTTATTGACTTCAGGGACTCAGGATCAGGCAAACTTTACCACTGTATTATCCAGGCCATCAGGGGAATTATTAATCAATGATTTCTTGGGTTCTTGCAGAAAGGTTCTCTCTCCAGGTGGAATAAAATCATGGCATCTACCGGGCCTGTTCATATCACAAAAGTCAAAGCAGGAATATAGATAAATATATTGGTCCAAAAGAAGAAAAAACTTAATCTACTATACTCTTTACAAACACACCTATTTTAAACTCCTTAATTATTTGAATATATTTTTGTATTTTTTAAAATTTAAATAATTAAATGTTCTATATCTATTAAGTTTGCTATTTATCTCTGAAAACTAATTTTCAAGTAGGAAATATAACTTGAGAAGAGTTCACCAGGCAAAGCATTTGGAAAACCACCTCTTTTGTGAATACATAGTAGAAATTATTGTTTTCAGTGCTTTCAAGTCTTGTGTTGGTATCTCTAAAGCAAATAGAATAGTTTATTGTAAATATGTAGAAAAAAAGAACTATTTCAGGTTCTTCATATTCTTAAGCAAAATGCCATAATTCTTGGTAGTACTCATTTTATGTGCTGAGTAAAAAACTAAAGTCCACAAATTACTTATTAAGTAGAACTGCATCAAGATGTAGTTAAAACTGAAAGAATTAATCTCTCTGAAAGTCATAGAGTATTGCAAAGGGATGGTTCAGTTAAAATGAAATTATGTGGGATTAAAAAATAATGTTTTAAAAGAAAATTTAAGAAACCTTTCACATATTAAAGAAATAAGATCATCTGATTCATAGGCCTTGACAGTATAATGACACAGAACTGAGTCTTCAAATTTGCAAACTAGCACAACAGAAATAGTTGAACACCATTCTGCATAATTTGTGGAACTGAATGATTCAACCAGGTGAGGAGGATATCTTGCTCATTGTCTCATTTTTCATTTGGTCTTGATGTGTCTTTTATCAGAGAGACTGATAAAGTTTAAGAATTTAAATTCTGAATGTGAAATAGATATATTATGCGATAAAGAAAGATTTTCAAAAAGCATAACCTGTGTTTCCACCAGTTTCAAATTTGCGTCTACCAAAAGAACTGCTCCATTTAATTCGCCTTTTTTATAAGTCCCTTTGTAGCCATTTTCCAACACACTCATTTCTCATCTCAAAACCATAAAACACATAAAAATTACAGCTCTATAAATTTGTTAAGATATCTTCACTTTTCAACAGTCTTGATTCTAAAATAAGAAACGATTCTTTTAATCTTTCCAAGTACATTCATAGTCTCTAGTTCTGCTTAATTTTTCTCTTGTCCCTTCCCTTTTGTTTTTATTTTGTCAGTGTTCTTTTTGGCAATTGTAACCATAAGGCAGCAGCAGAAGAAGAAGCTTCCCTTTTCAGAGAAGATGGAAGAATTCAGAGAGAACATTGTCAGTTATGACGATGAAGGAGGGGGTGAGGAGGACACAGAAGCTTTTGATATTTCAGCACTGAGGACGCGCACTGTCATGAGAACGCACAAACCTCAGAAGAAGGTAGCCTCCGAAATCCAGAGCCTCTACAGACAGTCTCTGCAGGTTGGCCCAGACAGTGCAATCTTCAGGCAATTCATTTCAGAAAAGCTCGAAGAAGCAAATACAGATCCTAGCGTTCCTCCCTATGACTCACTTCAGACCTATGCGTTTGAGGGGACTGGCTCCTTGGCAGGATCCCTCAGCTCATTGGGTTCAAACACTTCAGACATGGATCAGAGCTATGACTACCTTGCAGACTGGGGACCTCACTTTAAGCAGCTTGCAGGCATGTATTCTTCCCATAGAACTGTGGGGGATTAGGCACTTTTTGAATTGTTCTTTTGTTTTCCTAAGTCTCAGCAACCAAACGCAACTGTGGATATTTAAAAAGGAGGTCATCCCACATTAAACAGGAGAAATAAGAGCCCAGGGGTTTTAATATGGAAAGTTTTGGATGTGGAAACCTCTTGAAAGGATAAAACACACAGGGGGTGTTACCACATGATGGGATGGAGGTTATAGTTTGAGAACCTTGGTAATTTAAGTGCTTAAATGCAAACCTTGCTGCTTTGGATATCTAGAGCCTCTTCTGGGTACTGAAAATCTGGATCTTGCTAGTATAAAAGGAGGAGTAGAAGCCATAAATGGATGTTGTAAAAATTCTGTCATCCATAAGCTTTAAACAGTTTCCAAAGCTGACAGACTTATGCTGTTGTGGTTGAATATATACATTAACCAAAGTTAAACATGCATATTTGTATAATGCTTCATTATATAAATATAATTCTGTGAAAAGGTAGACCCTAGATATTGTAATACCATTGTCAGAAGTGCTTACAAGATCATCTATTTATTGTTCTTAGAATGATAAAACTAAAACAAATGTCTTTTCCTATCAGAAAAATTAAAGCACATTACAACATCAGCAAGTATTTGCTGCCGTTTTAGTTTTTAATGAAGCTATTGGAAAATGAGTAAACCAATATTTAATTTAACAAATAAGACAGGAAAAAGAATCAATATTTAACTTAAATACTGCAATCAACCACATTATATATTACTGCACTTAGAACAAAATGCTGTCCAAATACAGGCATTTTTTCCTTTTATTAAGAGTTTAAAGAGTGACTGATTTACCAGCACAGATTTATTTTTTTATTATGGAATATAAAATTAGCTGCAGTAGTCAGTTTTATTATAACAATATTAAGAATCTTTAAAATGCTAAACTGATGGTTATAAAACTTTATGTATGACATTAGATAATAACATAATAAAATGCTTTAAATGTTATCCACTTTGAAAATGATCCTGAATCATTTTGCAAGACTCAAGTAAGATTTCAAAATTAATTTCACACTTTTTTTCCAACCATTCTATAACAAATATATAGCTGTCTCAGAACATTTCTTTACTGAAACCACTACCCAGCAGCAATTTTGGAACTGAGGTCATCAAATGTTTTCAAAATGGTCTGTCTGGAAAAAACAACCCACCTGTATTTTACTCACCTCTCTTTCACTGAATACTCATTTTACAGAAATTATATCCTGCAATCAACTGTTTCAATCACCTAAAAGCTGGCATCATGATAAATCAAATTGTGCAACATATTTCTTTCTGTTTTTCTTTTTTTTTCTTCTTTTTCTAAGTAAGAGTTAGGTAAGTGAAACTGAATTACAGATTCAGGAAAGCTTATGCAAGGAAGAAACAAACAAATAAACCAGCCCCAACAAACAAATTCTGCAATATTTACTACAGCTGCTCTTCACTGAATAACACCAAGGTATGTAGGCTAAGTGGAAAAGTGCCCGTGAAGTTTAAATTCCTGGTACCTAAAAATAAAACATGGAGGTAGTTGAAAAATCAGGAGAGATTTCCAGTGTGAGGTCTGGTAAGAACAGAAATATTACTAATTATATTCATAGGTGGAAAATTATGGATAGGGGGGTAGGGGGACAGAGTGGCTGTCTGACCAGGTGCTGATGAAGCAACACCTGTTTCATAAGAAAAAAAAGATTCTTTCCAGTCTCATGGTAGGATGCCAATGTGAATGAGAAGCTGAAAATAATCTTTAAAAGTAAAAACATTGTGTTAATGACTGTAACCTCTTATGCCAATGGCTTTTATTTGAGAAAATATTTTACATATTAATATTTTGCTTCATGGGGAGGACTAGAGAGAGAACAACTACACACAAGTAGTTGTTGACAATAGTGAAAACTACATGTTTAGGATTAGGTCTATAGATTTATGTGGGTTATACCCTAAACAAATCCTTATTCCACAGATGGTCCCAGTGGCTTTAAGAGAATTCTTTGTGCTTTCAGGTTGTATTTAGTACAAAAAGGATAACAGTGTCTGATCCTTTCTCAATCCAGAGATTTTGTCCATTTATGTGGGAAAATAGCCGTCAACACTAAACCATTGTGCTTGTAATTTTCTGTCTTTACTGTGAGCTATTTTAACAACAAATAATGTTTGTAAGTAGTGCATACCACTAACATAGTTTTTTTAACCCCTTGTAGGCCATTGTGAGTAATTTCTATGTAAAAAAGAATAATAGCTTGCAATGGATCTTAAATGATCTTTAGATGAAAAAGCCTTAGATCATGTCTACATAACAGCCAACGGGCATGTTTTGCTCTGAAACAAGAATTTATTCCTAGTTGTTACTGGACCACACCTTATTAGGTTCCAGGTATTCAATCTAACCCAGCCTTGTCAATTAATTTCCACATGTGAGAAAAGGACCACTGAACTTAGTTCACACTTTAACTTCACACTTCCCTTAAGTTTGCTGAACAACGTGTAGAAAAAGGTTTTTAGAATTGTCTTGTCATTTGTAGGAAGTAAATATTCTAAGAAAAAAATTATCATACAAGAGATTACAGTCATGAGTATCATTAATTTAATAAAGGATAAGTTACAAGCTGGAGTTTCGGATGATGAAATATAATAAATTGTGGCATGGTTTTCCCAATAGAATCTTCCATTATCTTTATCTTTCAAAATTTGATTATTAGCTTGAATTCACTGTATTATTGGCCGAACTGAAGAGAGCAGGTATGATGACAAATGATAAAAAAAATATTCATGTTCATGACCTGCCCAAGGGAATACAAGGAAGACTTATTTGCTTGTGAATTCCTTATGGTGAAAGGAAGTATGTTCACACACACTGCTTTTCTATATGAATGTTTGAAGAGATATTCCTATAGGTGTCTTTTTCTGTGACCTGGTAAAAAGAGAGTTTAAGAACTGGTGAAATATCAGATAAAAGACTGGCTTTCTGTTTCAGTCTCATAAAGATTCAGCATGTTGTGGGTTTTGTTTTATTATATAAAATACAAGGAAATTAATGCTATGCAGATATAATTATAATTAGCATTCAGATGTCTCAAGGTAAAAAAAAAATCACTTAATAGCATATTGTAGCTTCAGACTCATTGCTGTGAGTGGAAAAAATATATTCTTTAATCAATTAAGCCAAAATAAAATGTTTCAGTTTGGTTTTGACTTCATACATCCCGATGCAGATTTTTTATTATCATAACACTGAGAAGAAGTTCTGCATATTACTGAGGGTAGTCTTACTCTTCAATTCACATAATTTTCCTACCTCATTTTTTCTCACAGGTATTGTCATTACACACCTAGCTTTGTTTTCAAAATCTTAATTGAAAATCTGGTTATTTTAACAATCATTCTTAATTATAATGGGTCACCCTGTCAGAGGAGAGTAACACTTGTTTGAAATAATAGTGTGCATTTTATGCTTGAAAGTCAGATCTAATATATGCTCTCTAAAGAGAAGTAGTTGAGGAGTTTATATGATTTTGCACTCTTGAAAAGAAGGTATTTCACCTTGATCCGGATTACGAAAAAATAGAATAAAATTTATATGAAAAAAACAGTAGCTATTAGTAAAGTCTACAATATTTTTCTACCATAAAACTGGTAAACCTATGTCTTAGAGAGAAAAAATGAGAGAATTCATGTTTATAAAAAAAAGAAGACACATTTGAAAATAATAATTTGTTTGCTTTTGTATTTGTTTGGGAAAAGACAAATTCTTCATGCATGATCTTATATCGACCTTCTGTCTCACACATGGAGTTCAAGGAACAGTAAGCTTTAACTCTGATATGTAGAGAAGGATAAAACATGCTTACAGAGAGATTGCTTACATCAGTATGAAAGACCTTACCTGCAGCAAACAGATAATAACATTAGTCAGAAATACGTATAGGACTCAATGAGACGTTTGCCAGCAAAGGCAGTTAGATATATAGCACTAAGAGCAAAACTTAATAATTATAATTAGAAAACATCAGTGCTTCAAAAAACTCTCAAATAGAAGAAACTGGAACAGGATATCAAAGGATCTTAATTCCCCATATATTTTAATTATTATTTAGATAATACTTTCATAATATTAAAGTTCACAATTTAAGTAATACTCCACATATGAGCATATGGGGATTGAAATATATTTGGTTTGTAGAGAGACAATGAAGTCTACATACATATATCTGACCTAATGGATACTACAAAAGTTATTACATTAAAGCTTAAAAGGATACAGACTTACCCATATGTATATACATATATATATAACACTGCTGTAAGGAAATCAGTCTCTGTCATGAGAAATTCCTCTGAAAAGACTTTAAAAAGGACATCTTCAACAAATTTTAGTAGCTTGGGAGCTGGAAGAGGAATTTTTTATGTACTGATTCAGTAAATTGGATTTAAAAATGTCAAAAATGTCCTGCATTACTAATAGTGGGGACACCTGAGTGATAAACAAAAATTGGATGACCCTGAAGAAAGAAAAATAGAAAATGGTTAAACTGCATTGCCAAAGTTAAAGATCATCCACTCTGGAAATAGTACTCGAAAAAAATAAAAATCTTCTATTTTACTGGGCACTAATCCAGTAGGCAATTAAACAGGACAAGGATAGCCTAGCTGCTAAAATAACTATGAAATGACAACAACATTAATTCCAGAAAAAGAAAAAAAAATCAAATATAAACAGCACCTGTACAATACAATAGATAATATAAAATGTTGACTATGTGTCTAAACAATAATAGAGTACTGAACTGTTTAATTATTTGGCAGGTCATTCTGTTTGTCAGACTCTGACCAGCCACACTAGTATTATTTCTGAAATTCACCCATTCATTTATACAGAATGCCAAAAACAGTCCCAATATTATTATAAAATATTTTCATATTTCATTTCACAAAAATCTAGTTTCTAATTTATTCTTTATTGCAGATGTACAAACACTTTGGCAAACCAAGATAAGGTGTCCAAGAGATATAAGAGATGTGATAAAATAAGCTATCCTTAAACGCTTCCTTCTAGACTTTCAACAATCTAAATCAATATGCCCACCTTTCATTGGTATCTGATGGACCTCATTTCATTGGTTGCATTTGACAATTTACTTATATCACTTATGACTTCAAAGTATTAGTACCATTACTTTGCAATTATTTTATAAGAATTCTCAAAGATTAGTGTCTAAAGTAATACATCCTCCAGGTTCTTTCTGTATCTTGTTATCACAAAAGTCTTACTCTGCTTTTTCACCACTGAATGTGAAAACATCCTAGACAGCTTCTATAAGCACTTGCATCCCCTGTGGTACATCTTACTCAACCTCAGCCACCTAAAAATCTGGAGTAAGTTATTCAACTTCCTTCCCATTCTGTGCTGCCACTACCTTAGACATAGAAATTCAAGGCAGGCTGGACTCTCCAGGACTTCAAAGCGAGAGAGGCATCTTTTCTTATGGGAAAGGCTTAGGCACAGTAGACCTTCCACAGCAAAGAACTCCTCCTAATACCTTTCCTTCATCTCACTGTGAACACTAACTCACTGATAATGATCACCTAAAGCTTCATCTACTTTCCCCAATCTGATAGGGGTATAAGGACCCATCTAACTCCTTTTATCTTCATGTACATTTGGATTTGTTTTTAAAAACTCTATGTT